CCGCTCGTTGCCGCTCTTCTTCTTCCTCGAGCATCCGTAAAACCGCGCTGTTTTGTAAATTCGCCGGCTTAGCCAACTGGTTGAAATTGATTCTAAAAAAAAAAAGAAAAAAACAGAAACACCAGAATGCACTTTTATTATTCACAATGTAATCTGATACACGTCGAGAAAACTTTCTAAAATTATGTCCTGTATTTTACTACATTTTGCAACGATAAGTTCAGCGGATTGTCTTTCAATATGGACTAGATCTGATATTTCAAGTCAACAGTGTCGACGATATAATTTCTCTTTACTACAACTTCAAATTGCTTACACGTTTCGTTTTCAACCACCTGTTACATGCTATAGTAAAAATAATTAGAGGATCGTGTACTTAAATAAGTGGACCACGTAATTATCTTCTCTAGCTGTGGTGACGCGAGGAAATTTTTATTTAAACGATTTCAAAGGGTGAATAAGATGGAAAAATTTTTAACCAAACGTAAAGCTTCCCTTCGTTCTTTACCGTTTCTTCCATCAAAAAAATTTTGAACTCAGTAATTCATAAGAATACTTAAAAATATTTTACAGCGTTAAGATGAAATCATTTGAAACCCTTTGAAACCATTTGAAATATGTCTAAAACCACCGTTGTTAGAGAAGATAATTACGAGGCTTGTTTTACATCGCCTACCCTGCATAATACTTTGTATACTATAGATAATTAGTAAAGTTGCCCATATATTAACATGTTTCGCATGGAATACCAGTTGTCTGTTACGTTTAGAAAGAAAAATTATTTAATTAAAAATGCTACCGATGAAACTGCGATAAATTTAGCATTTAATTCATACTTCCCTCTTGTTGAAACTCACTGTTCTCACATAACCTCTTTAACTTGAATTTAACACTAGAACGACCGGCCGTGTTAAGTATTATCGTTTCTAGCTTTCCGACTTTATTTTCTGCATGTATACTTCTATTCCTATCGACACGAATCTAATTTGTCAATCACGCTTCAGTTACAGGAAAATTCACTTTTGAAATGTCGCTCACCCGGCCGGTCCTTCTAGTGTTAAAAAAAAAAGCAATAATTTTATTAAATTAAAATATGCTACTTATAAAACTGTGACTTTAGCACATCATTTATATTTCTTTCTTTTTTCTTTTTTGTAACCCACTATTCTGATACAACCTCTTCAATTTGAATTTAAGTTTCTATAAAAGAGGTTAGTTTTTGTATCTTGTCGCATTCATGAAAACATTCTCTGCTTTTCAGACGAATACAAAAGTTCGATTTTCTTGGATTTAGAAAAGAAAATGTAGAGAAATGTGAAGCGCAATTGAACCGAAAAGAATCTCAGAGCACCGACAGGGTTAAATCAGCCGTTCACGTAATTTCTCTTCACAGTGGCATTCCTACGAAACTTTCTAATCGTTTCGACCGGTGCGACAAACTTGATTATCTCGTTCGAAGGAAATGAATCCGAAAGAAAGTTATTGTGAAGAACGTCACCTGCTTTGAGCGAGCATGTTGATTACTTGGAATGGACTTGTACACAGAAGGGAAGTTGCGCGAGGAAACCGGTGGTGAACCATGCACCCCGAGGCCACCGAACGTGAAACTAAGTCAAGTACGACAGCGTTCGCAGATTTTGCGCAACGGCTAGGCTCCGAGCGGGGTTTATTTCTAACTCGTGTGATTCGGCCCTCTGAAAATAACGGCCGACTCGCCAATGACGACGGAACGGCTGATTCATCAACCTGTAATCGGTCAACATCTACAAGTCGATGGGGGATCGATACGAATCGATGGAACAACACATGTTTACCAAGCACACAGCCAATTCTGATTGACACAAGGTGGTCGCGGTGTCAATGAATCCTCCTTAAGGTGGTATTCTTATTTTTAGGTTAGGTTCCATTTTTTGTAGGTTAAGATCCTTAGGATAAAAAGTGATTAGATTAATTATAAACCAAAAGATTTGAAGATTTTCATAAACGTTTGACCATGCTTCAAGAAAACACCATGCAATTTTTATGTGAAATTATTTGAATTATTATTTAAGTTATTACATATTTCCCACAGTGCGCCATTGTGAATGGCTGCCGCGATTCACGGTGTTGTATTCATTTGAAGCAGAAAAATCAAAGATAATCTTAAACCGTATGAGTGTTGTTAACGTCCCTACTAGAATAAAGCGAAAAAGGTATATTTTGACAAAATATCGTTTCTATCGTGGAAGTTTTAACTTCCTCAAGCGATAAAAAAGAAAACAGTTGCTGTCATTGGTATTGTTCTAGTAAGGGCGACAAAGGGATATCGATTTTATACGCAATGTGAAATTTGAAAGAGATTAGTCGATTGATTGTTGAGAAAACATGATAGCCACTTTGCAAAACATGGTTTTGAGAAAAATGCATTTAAGGTTTTGCTACACTCGGCGTTTTTAGCGGTACGTTACTTTCTTGAAATCATTATAATTTTGCCATTTCGTTGATTTCAGGTGTAGAATTTTAGCAACAGATTTTCAAAATGTTATACTTTGAGGAAATGTAATAAAAAGAAATAGATTTTTTTTACTCCTTCAAATGAAAATACGTCCTTAATGTACACTTTCGAGTTTCCTCATACGTGATAAAATTGTTAATTTATGACTCGGTAAACCGTTTTCGTTGTGTTCGTTGTTATTTCGGATTCTGTGATCGTTTTGTATATACATGCGTGAGGAGGAAATCGTAAATAGCTCGATGTATATTAAACCGGGAGAAAAATTAAATTTAAAATTACGCGGGAAATAAATGAAAAAATTTAATAGTTAATTTGTTCGATCTTGAACAAATAATATTGTGAAAGAAAAATAATAAAAATAGAGAAAAAATGTAAAATTAGTGAGAAATCCTCACCAGTTACATCAAAGCGTTAGTAGATTGTTCTCTGTATTTTCTCTGATTTTTACACGTTTGTATGTTCTTCGAATTCTGAGAATTTTCAAATGAAACTACTTTTTCTGGATAATTCGAGACGAGAAATAATAATTAGTTTAACCATTTTTATTTAAAAGATTATTAAGAAAAAATTGTCTGTTGCTTAATTGAAGGTAATAATCGAAAGATTTGAAGATTTTTCAATATTTAACATAACTAAAAACTTGTAAAATATTTCATAATTTCATAAATGATTTAACTTTATCTGATTATCAGTAAGCATAATTGTTGACGAAAATCTTTTTTAAGTCTTATACCGATTGCGAGAAATTTTTTTAGTTACCGATAACTAATATCGATGATAGATAAATTTTTCGATTACATTTAACCATCGTCGGTAAAGTAATTTTTTTTAATCACTACTTACAAATAATTTATATAAATCCGAATAACCTACTTTTTTAATTGTTATTCAAAGAGTTTACCTATAAATTCTGGGTTTATTTTTTTACTTTAAAATTTTTACAACATTCCTTACCCATATACTCGCATCGTAAAAGATACTTTCAAAAATTGCATTGCACGTCAAATTTCGCATTCTCGAAAACCAATTGTAATTTTATACCAAACATTATATTTAATAACGCCAATTTTTTTTGTGGTCGCGAATGGCTAGTAAACCGATGCGACATTGACTTACCCGACTGCGCCATTAGCTAAAACTCGAGTTTGCCTGTCTAGAGTTTCTTGTATTGCTTGAGGTGAATACAAATTGATCGGGGAGTTGAACTGTTTGTTCACGAACATCGTCTTTTGTGGAGACATACTTGCGTTTTTCTAGAATTACTTTTCTCCACTGAAAAAATAACGAACAACAAATATAAAAATTTATATAAAATTTTCGTAATAGCAATACAGAATTATATCAACATATTTATTCAAGTCTATCCAGTTTATACAGACCTATTACGATCCATAAGATACTATTAAAATTTTACACACAACTGTAATTGTTTATGCAAAATCGAATTTAATTTATGAGTTTAATTTGTATTATAACCATTTATTTACAGTTATGACTTTTTCTTCGACTTGGTGTCTTAAAACTACATAAAGAATTAAAGTCTACCTACTTCCCTAAACGAGACAACATGAATAATATTCCTAATAAAATTTTTATTTAACTAAAAATAGAATTAATTAAAATACATCACATGTACAATTCTCATTAACCGTTTGTCTTAAAATTGTTACCAAAAACGTGCCGTAAATCTGCGTATCACATTATCCTTGGCAAAACTAGGTCAAATTAGTCGAAACGAATAAGGCATTAGTATAATTACCATTTGGCAAAGTAACACAGGAACTAATGTAAATCATTCTACTAATCGAACATTAATTTAACGCCCGTGACTAGAAATTTAGTAAATTCAGCGAATCCCATTATACAATTGTTCTTCTCACGATTTTGCCAAAATTCATTGCACACACTCTGGTCTCGATTAGACAATGCGTTACTGCACATTGGAACGCGAATAATTCTAAAAAGAGACTCGAATGTGCGAATAATTATAAGAAGAAAATCGATTCAACGTCGAACGAGATCGTATATTGTAACGAAGTAATACGTAAGTGTGTATTACATATACAAACAACTTGGCGAGAATTGGGTCACGAATCATCATCACGATGTTTCGGGATCGCTCGCTGAGTGTTTGGATATTCGATACCCAACGAACGAAAGGCGATATTTTCTCCGAAAATTCATGCCAAGAAATATGCGCAGAGCCGTATCGAGAAACGGAGGATTGTCATAACGAAGAGGTATATGTAGTGAGATCTGAAAAAGTGGCCGTCGGTCATGCCCGCTGTCTGAATCGCTACGTTATACTGGCTTCCTCCCTGAGTTGAGAGGCATACTTCGAGTTCACTGACATATATGAGTTTTAGAAATAGAAACGTCTTGTTTACCGTGTACACAACCACTTGCGAGAGATGTTATAATGGCAGTCCTGGGGCGTTCCAAAGGAAAAATCTAAAAACAAACAAAAAAAATGTATATATATTGTTTGTTTGTATTCGTACAAAAAAATATGTATTCTTCATATAATTTGCAACGTTTATAAAGACTTGTTTCTGGCGTAAAAAATTTCTGCTTACTTATAAACTTGAACAGTTTCGATCGATTACGTAAGAAATGTTATTGTAAAAAGTATTCTTATACATTTCCTTTCCAATTAATTTTTATAAAATGCATAATTTCTTCACAATTTACAGATTTGTAAAAAAACGTTATACGTCAATAGTCGTAGTTATTTAACGATAAAAGTTTAAAGTGCACATTTTAGGATTTCAGACAATATAAGTAGCACAGATTGCTATTAACGTTTAATAAAATTAAATATCTGGTAGAAATATTTCTAAATCGAATAGTTAGTTATATTTCTATTCATGTATTTTTATTTTTCTATGGAATATTTTAATATAAAGATAGAAGTAAAAATAAAAATAAACAAATCCTGTATTTTGTTTAAATTGGAATAAAAATTAATTGTTTCTTTCGTATCATTCTCCTTATAAATAATATCGCATTCATGATTGTATTCAATATTTCATTATTATTTTATAACCACAAAAATTTTAAATACCTCTTCTGGAATATATTTTCACTTTTCAAATTGTCTTATCTCAAATGAATAATATGATATTAGCAGTAACGAGAATACAAATAAAAAATCAATAATAAATTGTAAACCCAGTGAAAATAGAAACATATTTTTAAAAGTGTTCTAAATTTCATGAATAAGAAATTTTACTGTTTCGTAGAGAAATTACGAGCTTTCTAGTACATATTCCTATTTTGATAATAAATAATGTATACTACAGAGATAATAATTTGTATATTTGTTTAGAAATAAATTGAAAGAAGGAGAATGGAAAGAGATTACCAAAATCGCCTGTTCTAGAATGAAATTGTGAAAAATTATACACAATCGTTCGATTATTAATGACAGGAATGTACATATAAATTTTAATAAGATTTTGTAGAAATAGAAAAACCTCAAGTCTTATTGGTTGTATCGTTGGTTTGGAATTCGGTTACGCCGCCACTAACAGCTGGAAATTCAGACGAAAACAGCGAAGAAATGAAAAACGAATGTGTACACGGGCAAAGTACACGTTTATCTTATGAAAGTTTCGGATTCTCTCTGACACGTCCCTGCTGAGTAGCCACCGGTAGTCTACCGTAGTTATTTTTGCTACGAAATTCCTCCGAATATATCTACATCGTCCGCAAAATCCCTACATCTCCTCCTTTCCACCTCGTGACCCGAAGTACCCAATGGTACTTCTTGGTCGTATTAGATTACAGCGGAATTATGGATTCGATCGTGTACAGGAAAGCCAGCCAAACCTTTCGAAAGATTCAGGCGACAATTAGTCTCGGAAATCTATGACGATCACTGTTTTTCGAGACACACACAATCTATGCATCGTTTCCTTTACATAACACATATCTATTCCAAGCTCGTTCATTGGTATTTGGACGATGCTCATATTGCAAACTGTTGTTGAAAATTCAATTCCCGAGAGATAAGCAATCATGTCAGTTTAAAAAAAAAAACTTGTACACATCTTCGAGTCTAAAAATGTTCGATTCTATTCTTTCGAGCGCGCCGATATTTTCTAACCTAACAAGTCTGCGTATCCTAGCAACGCTGCGAAAAATCTTCGAAGCTGATTGGAACTTTGATCTTGGTTGCTAAACAAGCGTGTGACTCGTGTAGTTGCATGTATCACGCGATCTATTTTAACACTCATTGCTACAATGATTTCTCACCTGTAAAAACTTTTGGCTACCATTTATATTATACTATAGCTTTATCAAGTCTTAAATAGCATTGAATAAAATTCGAAATAATGTCTTTGAACGACGTAAAATTTTGCTTCTAGAAAACACTATGAGTAATTTCACGCAGATTATTTTGTTTAGGCGAATAGAAACAATAAAGTGATCAAGGATCCATATTTTCTCAAGGTGATAATAGATTTAGTGTGAATTAATATCGATACACGAGAATGTAAAATATTACTCAGTTCTGTGTCGATCGTCTAACATGGATAACATCGCTAATGTTGTGGTCGATAATCGTTTGGAACGACTGTTACCAACGACCGCTTTAAGAATCAATCGTATCGCAACTGGATGCACAATTGTTGATATATCCGGAGGACTTCGCAATCGTCTGTTACCGACGGTTTTTTTTTTATAGTCGATGTGAAGTTCGACAGAGTACTCAGCATTCTCAAGAAAATAAAGCGTTACACGGAAGGAAATCAGATATATCATAGTACAAAAACATAATTGCGAAGCATAAATAACTTAAAAAGATAGATGGAGCATATTTCCTATCCTCTTACGTATCATGCAAATATTTGACTGACCTTCAAATCGTATGATAACAAACGATTCGTTCGCATGAAATCAACAGAAATTGTGTGATGTATTCGTTTTTTATTGCAATAAAGATGTTTGCAACGAATAAAAACGAAATGTATTCGTATCCGTACAAACAACATATTAAGTACGAAAAGCTTGTGAAATATTAAGTGTGTAAAGTACGTGCGAATCATTTTCTGTCTTTGATGTTAGATGGTGTTGTCTAGTTGCATGAATGGGCGGACACGTGAGTGATTCATCTTCGTCATAACCGAAAATTTTCAGATACTAAAGCGTTTTGTACATTACTTTATACTCTACGAGTTGCAATAAACCTTGACGCGAATGTGCTCCGACAAGACGTTATGTCGAAACGGAATGCGATAAATTCCAAAATGTAACTTATTGTTGGTTACATATATTTTTTCCTGTAAAATTTTACATATGTATCCAGAAATTATGTAAAATCTTAGGTTACGTTCTTATCCTTCTCTTACACGTTTCTTCTGTAAATCCTTCGATTTTTCGAATGATCCAAGATAAATGCATAATACATTTTTTTTGCTTTTTTTCTTTTTCATTTGTAAGATGAATTGTATCCCCTAGGACACTTGATGAAATTTTTGGATTCACGGAATGAGAATGTGAAGCATGACGACGACAACAACGGGCACCTACCTTCGCGTTAGAACGCAAGGCACGCGGGTTTCTCGGGACTCACACTGGACTCTGAAAAGCGAAAGCACGGAAGAAATAGCGAGAA